CGAAACTGTCCGTGTAAAGCGGGTGTCCGTAGAGCGGGGTTCCACTGTATCAATAAAACAAATACAGGGCTCCTGACAAATAGTAGTTTTTTTTTTACGAAAGGATTGTTGTGAAAATAGGTTACCAAGTAGTGCTGTTAAACACCGCGGACCTTACTCAGTGTCCGAATATTTCCATGAATCATCCCAGATAAGCTTTTTGTTGTCGCTTACACATAAATCACTGAATGAACTGCCACTTGTGTTTTTGTTCAGTGTAAAACAGAGTGAGATCTGGGTACGAGATTAAGCTGAGACAAGAGCAAAAGAAAAAAATAAATGACGGGGGAGGGGGAGGGGAACGAAGGACCTTTTTTTTTGCTTCCGCTCTAACTTTCGCGCAATAACTCGATTGGAAACGCTTGCTACGCAGGCTACTTGTGCCAGAATTGAAGATTTCCCGAACTGAGGAGAATGAGATGTAAAAAGCTTGAACTAAGGCATTTAGTAATCTAACCGTTATTCAGCGTAGCAGGCGCTAGCATGCTAGGAACCTCATGATGCGGGAACTGATCGATGACCGGGCACGCGACGGAGACGCGAGGCGGAGAGAGAAGTGATAGCTTTTTTCCATAAAGATATTGCATCTGTATGTTTTTCGGGTAGTTAATAATCAAACAGTATTCACCTGATATGAGGTAATATAATATAATAACAAAGATGTATATTTGCATATGAAACCTGCACTGTTATTATCAAGCAAACAGCTATTGAGATTTGTCGCCCGACTATCCAATAACAGGACAATTAGCGGCAATCCAATGTAATCTACCAAACAAAGAGCACAAAAACCTCTGTTTGGACTCGTTTTAGTGTTGTATGTGTTTTTTCCTTGCAAAGTTGAGATAGCTTCGTCTTGTCATGTCCTCAGCTGTGTCCGTCAGCAATAAGCTCTAATTTTGTTATCGTTGCGGTAAACTGTCAAACGTGTGTTACCCGCTAATGATTAATTTCAAGCTGATATTTGCGTCAGCGGTTTTCTGCCGCCAGTCCTCGACCTAAGTGCCTGATACTTTGATGCATGTATGCCTCAGAGAGAGATTCCAAAGGGAAAAGCAGGTTTTATTATGAAACGATGAAGTGCCAATCGCGAATGTAAGGATGCTTAAAGAACCAAATCGCCTATTACCGCATAGAGACTGAGTCAGGGATCGTCACGAAGTCATACATTTGACGCACTTCGCCCAGTCACGGTAATCAAGCGTAAGACATAGTCGACTGCATAGCAAATTACTTTGGTCTTATTAAGGCAATCAAATCAACTTGAAAGCGTCATTATGTAAACGGGAGGTTGAAAAAGTGGATTTTGCTAGATGAGGAAGGGGTTCGCTAATGAAGCAGTGCGTTAAAGGTTCTTAGAAACATCGATAAAGGACGTGCGGGTGGCAAGGATTCATTTTGTTTACAGCGATTAAAATGCGTTGGATTATCCGGTATCGCGTTGCTTGTCTTGCGAATGTCCTTTCTAATTACCGCTGAAATGGATTTTGAAGCGGCAAGACGAAACGCGGACGAGAGACTCAATCAGGAACTCGTTAGAATCCGCAATCTTCCGAAGCGAAGCAAGATCAAAGTCGCCAACAAATATGGCTTGAAACATGCGAGTCACACAAACGCAGGATTAGTGAAGGAGTTAGAGATTAACTTGGGGATCATTTCACGTGAACAGAGACGGGTCGCGAATGAATGTAGTAAGAGACAGAGAGATTTCAGAGAGACGCAAAAGAAATCCTTGTCAAAATTTTTACCTCCTTTGGGGCCGCAGGAGAATATAAAGATTATGGCAGCCGAGGCAAAGGTCGAGGCGGAGGAAATTAGGACGCGAAGGACTACAGTTGCAGATCAAGCACCAATGTGGTTAAAAGATCAAAGGGAGTCAATTGCGGAGTTTAAGAGGGAAAGACTCATAGAAATGACAGCAAGGAGTAAAAAGAAAACGTTAAAGATTATTTCGGAGAACAATAAAAAGACCTCTATAGGCGCGCCGTTACCACCTTTGCGCGACGTCGAATCGGACGAAAACTACTTGTTAACGAGGCTAAATCGTCGCCGGAAAAACGCCTTCGCCGGAAGTTGTTTTCCGTTTTTGTTAGAAGACACGAAACGAAAGACGGAGAAGGAAAATCAGCCTGTCGAGAGCTTGAGTAAGCGTCATCGAGAATGGTTGGGCGAGTTAGGACCAAATCAAGACGCCAGTATGAACCGAGCAAGAACGTTCCGTGGTGTCACTTACGAAAAGGTGATAAAAATGACGGACCCTGCAAAAATTCCACACTTAGATCCGCGGAACCCTAAACTTTATCAAGTTGTTATGAGGGTCTACGATCGAAACCGTAGGAAGATATCCAGAATGAATGAAACGGATGCAGAAATTGCAAGGAAAAACACGGTGTTTACAAAGCACTGGAAATGATCAACAGTGTCGATAGTTCATTTGTCCTCCCTCTGCAGTTTGCGTCCGTAGTGCTCCATTTTTATTACCAATATTGATAATAACAAATCCAACCAATTAAGACCAATTAAGCAAAAGTTATTAAAGGACCAATGAACCACGCACATAGGAAGTGGAGTCTGACAAAAACCTTCATTTATTGAGTGATGCATGGAATTCGGCTATACCGAGTGCTGAATTTCTTCTCTTTATACTAGAAACAGAATTGCGAAAGAAGTACTGTATTTTTAATGCAGTCATGTCGTAGCTTTAAATTGAACGCGCCAGTAAAAGATGATACTGGACTAAAAAAAAGTTCAGTTTGTTTCTTTTTTTCACCCTTTATGCTTCGTCACTCAAAGAAGGAAGGTATTTTATATTGTTGATTGTAGAATCAATTATTCAAGAATTTCAACATTCGATCTGTTTGCTTTAAAATGAGGAAGTTGACTGTGATGTCAAGAATGTCTGAAACTAAATCCCCCCCTTTGTCGCCATCTTTCATTGATTGCTCTTCCAATCAAAACTTATAACTCAATGATCTATTTAAACTTCTCAGCAAAAACTCTGAAAACTATTTTAACGAGACTGCAAATCGTTTGTATTTGTTTTACCGGAGTGCACGAGAAGAAAACTTACACCATATGGAAAATCATTTTGAACAAAATCAGGGATTTAGCCCCAAGGCTGACTCTTTAATTTCAAACAAGTTGCAGACCCTCAATTTTCGGGGACCCTGATTTTTGTTTTGGTCGGGGGATGGGCAGGTTATTTTAATATCATTGTTAACACAATCCACCGTACCTAAAAAGATGGCGACCGGTACATTTACCCACAGTTCTTAGCGCATGAAAACCACAAATTAATTGCTCATAACAACGCACAGAAAAGTTTTATAAACTTAAAACCTAGGATAGGCAATGTTGCTATTACAGGTACGAATTTGGCCCCCCAACCCCAATTATGACTTTTTGTGTAATTGGCTGTGTTAGGTTCGAAAGGAATTGTGGTAAAATGTACAGCCGCCATCTTTTTCCGTACGGCGGATTGGTTCCCGCTGTCTATTCCCCCCTGGGGGGGGGAGGGGGGGTGCTTCCTAGTAGTAGACTAATGGGTATGTGCCGCTGGATGGAGTCGCATTTTCACGACTGGATTGACTATTATGGGGTCGCATTATTTATAAGAGTTACTAGAATGGGGTCGCACATTTTCAATATTTTGGGGGTCAGAAAATTTAGGTTTGTACGGATTTAAAAATAGAAAGATTTACTCCACATTAAGTCTAACAAATGTGGTAGTTCATTTCAAGATGTTCTATTTAAAAGGCTTTATAACACAGATGCATAAACAGAAAATGACTAAGTTGGAATTGCGAGAATTACTTTTTTTCCCAAAGTGACTAAGATGGGGTCTAAAATATGGCCACAGAGTAGACTATAATGGGGTAGAGGTTCTGAGAGGCCAGCGGAACATACTCAGCAAAAATTAACCCAAGTGCCCCCCAGGGATATGTTAACTCCTGCATTATTACGCTTTCACAAATACGAGTAGATTTATATAATCAGTCTTGTTTTATTTGTTTTGTATACGTCAAAGTACCGCAGTGTAGCAAAGAAGATATAGACCAGATTGTTCCTGAGACTTAAAATTTCTTACAACAATGAAAAGTAACTTTTAACTTTTTAAAACAATGGTAATTAATTTTTAACAGATCCGTCAACTGTAACGGAAAAAATTAACCGTTAGCCGTACAAAAGCCAAAATATTAACCGTTAGGTGTAACAGACACCACCCCATTAAGACCCTTTACATAGTATGTGTCTCACTAGAAACTGAATTGCGAAAGAAGCACTGTATTTTTAATGCAGTTATGTCGTGGCTTGAAATTGAATGCGCCATTAAAAGATGATACTGGACTTAAATAAAAATTCAGTTTGTTTCTTTTTTCACCCTTAGCTTTATGCTTCGTTATTCAAAGAAGGAAGGTAGTTTATATGGCTGATTTTGGAATCAATTATTCAAGAATTTCAACATTCGATCTGTTTGCTTTAAGATGAGGAAGTTGGCTGTGATGTCACTGAATGAATGAAAACTAAATCTCTTTGTCTCCCCATAGGGTATTTTTTTTGAGGGTCTCACTCCTTGAAATGAGGGTATCCTTTTTGCTGCTGTTGGCGTTGTGTTCCCAGTGTGATCCTCAGACAGGTTAAAAATAGTATTATCAATATTTCTATAGCTAAAATCCAAGTGTGTACATGCCCAGCTACATGAGAAACAAATAATTTGTTAAAACTGAACTTTACCAGTAGAGTATTAGGAAAGCGATTTGAGGAAGATTTGTGTGCTTCCATTGAATTCTATTTTTTGTTTTTCCTTCATGAATTGGGTCTCCTTTGTTAGGTTTGGGCCTTAACTAAATAGGGTATCAGTTTTCGTTTGTCTCATCCTAAAATACGGTCAGAGCTTAAGACCCAGTACTCCCCCCCCCAGGACAATAACCAACACACAAATTTTCGGGCCGAAGGGGAAACTAAGCTACATAAGCCATCCCCTTTTTGAATATAATGTTTTTGTCGCTGTCTTTAATCGTGTTCAAACGGTGAGCAATGGTAATGACTGTAAGGTCCTGAAGTTTTTCCCGTACAACGTTCCAGATCGTTTGTTCTGTGTCCGGATCCACGTGAGCAGTTGGCTCATCAAGGACGACAATTTTGTTCTGCTGCAACAGGACGCGCGCTAAGCAGATTAATTGCCGTTCCCCTACGCTGATATTTGCACCATGCTCCAGAAAATTGTAATTCAACTGTCCTTCACGACTCTTCACGAAATCTTTAAGCTGAACTTGTTCTAATACCCTCCATAAATCGGCGTCTTGGTACTGCTCCATCGGGTCAAGGTTTTTCCTAATGGATCCACTAAAGAGAACAGGACTTTGCCCTAAAACTGATAAAGCCCTTCGAGCCCCTTGGAGGTTGATCGCCTTAACTGGAACTCCATCAATGATGATATCCCCTGCAGGATCTGGCATGCGCAGAAGAGCTGTCACAAATGAGGACTTCCCAGCACCCGTCCGCCCGGCGACGCCCACCTTTTCACCTCCTTCGATATCAATATTGATATCCTTGAGGGCTTGGGGACCCCCCGGATAATAGGTTAGAGATACATCTCGGAAAGTGATTTTGCCTTTATTAGGCCACTGTTCCGGGGGAAGCTTGGCGACCTTGTATCCAGGTTCAGGGTCAATTCTGGTGTAAGCCATAACTCGTTCAACTGACGTCATAAAATTCTCCACATCTGAAGTCTTTCTGACCGCTAGTTGTGTCTGAGCCACGGTTTGAATGATATAAACCATAGAGAGACCAGCAGAAGCTAATTGGAAGAAGAAAAATAATTTAATCGATAATGGGGCCCTCTTGTTTTAGTTCGGTGTACAGTGGAACCCCCGCCCCGCCTTACCGCCACCTCGGTAATACGGTCACCTCGTTAAAACGGCCACTTTTTTTGGCCGCCCGGCAAACCGACCATACATTTTCTTGTAAAGAAACCCTCATTAATACGGCCACCTCGTTATTACGGCCAAATTCTTTTGGCCCATTGGTGACCGTATTACTGACGGGATTCCACTGTAGTTTGTTGTAGTTTGGTGTAATTGTTGGTGTAGTTAGTGTTGTTAGCGCAGTACCTACCAGCATCTTGGGATACCAAAACTGCAGAAAGAGCCACTGCTGTAGTCATAAAGGAGGCAATTAGATCCAAGCGTACACCCAGCCATCTCCCACTTGCCATCACCACCATGAATGACTGGGTGTGAATATCCTGAAATCTGCAATAAATCAATTCAATATCAAAATGCAGTCAGTTTTAGTGGTTTCTAAAAGTGCAATTTTAACTGACCACCTCTCTTTGGGTGGCAGTCAGTTTCGCATGATTTGAACTCTCTGTCTAGTAATGAGGCCATTTACTTGCCACCAGGTATTTTTACGGTTTGCGCTAAATGTCGGATTAAGATCCAACGTCGTCCCAAGCCTTTTTCTCGTACTCTTTGGGCCGATTTAGACGGTAAGATTTTTGCCTACTACTATCGTGTGCGACTAGAGTGCGTCATGACTTCCGGACGGATCTTGTCGTGTAAATTAGACCCACGACATTCGTACGACACGCGTGGATGTCGTAAGTGGAAATTGTGCGCGTGTGGATAGTCGAAAGTCATGACGTATGCTAAGTCACGCACGATAGTCGTAAGTCGAAGTCGTACCGTCTAAATCGGCCTTAACTAGGGAGGAAAATCCTGGAAACGGGTTCCTCGACTTGTTCAAAGAAATAAAGTTTGACCGTTGTATGGCCAACTTGGGTTATACCAGAGAATGTCCGTAAAGAAGACAATTTCTGTGGGATTGGTTGCTCCCCGGCTATAAGCAATTCCTCTCTCTTCTATGGCAAATCGAGCGATTCGTTTTGTGTTCTCGATCTCTTTCGCACTTCCAAATAATCTAAAAGCAGCTCTTCAGTTAAGCGCAGCAAGTAACAAGGTCTTCACTCTCTTTTTCAATTACATAACAGTGGAGTTACACTGATTTTTACCTGAAAAACTGGTCCACAAAATCGCTTCCTTTTCCTCTCGTCCGAATCGTGTCCAGTCCGTTTAAAGTCTCCGAGATGTGTGAAAAGACAGGGCTTCGACAACTCGACTCTAATCGTTTGAGATCACGTGACGTCTTTAGGTAATACCTCGAAATGTACAAAACGAGCAAAGTTAATGGAGCGATAACAGTTAGTAGCCAGGGATTGGTGATAATCGGAATAAGAACTCCGAATAACAACAGGAGAACCAACTGCATTGACATCAGAAACGCTTTGGGTAATAGTTCGTCAAGACAGCTTATGTCTTTGGAGAACCTGTTCATAACTCTTCCCACGGGATTTGTGTCAAAGAACAGGACTGGCGCTTGTAGAACAGCCAGGACCATTTTATCATGAAGGCGCTGGGAACATCTTAGAGAAACCAGGAGAAATCCGTATGCACGTATGACTACAAATACAAAGGCTCCACCCACGAGACAACCATATATAATGAGGTTCATCTTGTCCCTCTGATCTGCTGGCTGTTTCTTTGTGAGCAACGCAAGCCATACATCTGGAGAAGCTCTAATTGCTAAGAACGAAGAAAAACAGCAGTATAAGAAACGATGAATAACCGTAACCAAAAAGACGGCCTATACCATCATTTTCTCCATCTGATCAATAGCCTGAGTCAAGAGAGGACGATACTCCCATATATCGACGCCACCCATCAGGGCATAGGTTTCCCGGGGGGGTAACTGCGCATATGAAAGGGGTGGGGATGCTCGTCGCCTCGCTTAGGGGTGTAAATTTCGGATTTTGGTCTCACTTAGGGTGTTCTGGGCAAAACGCCATCATATTTAGCCGTGAAAATCTCGTTTAGGGTCGCACGCGAAAAATATGAAAATATATATATTGACTGCGTTTCAACAAGATCTCTTTTAGGGTTAAAAAAACCCTGGGCCACGCCCAGATCGGTCTCCTTTAGGGGTTTAATTCAAAATTCCCGACGAGCATCCCCACCCCTTTCATATGCGGAGTCTCCCCCGGCATAGGTTTTGAGGGTCTCGATCTTTAAGGGTATCATGTTTACCCTTGTTGGCATCGTGTTCCCAGTGTGATCTTTAGGTAGGCCGGGTACCTAACTTACATCGGCTAAAGTTCAAGAATGAGTGCATGAATCCCCAGCTATACGAGAAAAAAAAGCCATCTGTTAAAACTTAGATATCCGTCAGAGTATTAGCGTTAGTTTTTAGTGCCTAAAATCTGTTTTGACCTTTCGACCGCACACTCGTGGAGCTATCTTAGCACAATTTGTACCAAATTAGGTCCTACCGGGTGAAACAGCACCAAATTTATATGCGAAGTGCTAAAACAAATCTTACATTATACGTTGGTTACCTTGCGAGATAAAACAAAAACAGATTACAGCAATGATCACAGGAGAGGGTACTCCACTCTTGAAGTAGCTCAAGTAAAGTGCCCATGACACAACTCCGATTTCGCGTTCTTCGTCGGATATCTTTAGGCCCTTATGTTTGTCGTTTTCCTTGCCTTCAATCAATGTGTCATTTTCTTCATTATCCCAATCCAAACTGTCGTCTAATCGATCCTTGTCGAGTTTGTTATGGCATAGGCCTGTCATGTTATTCAGGATCCCCTCTCCTTTAAGCTGTTTCAAAGTTCCGGTTCCCAACACTCGGCCTTTGTTCATGACAACGACGTTATCAGCATCTTCCATGTGCTGTTCTTGGTGAGAACAGAGAAGCCGGATTTTCTGACCCAGTAAGCCCTTGATACACTTTTCAAATACATGCCGACAGACTTTGAAATCCAAGGCACTCAAGGGGTCATCTAGCAAGTAAAGTTCAGCATCGGCGTACACCGCGCGTGCTAAACTTACCCTCGCCCGCTGACCGCCTCTCAGGACCTCACCACGTTCTCCAACGACTGTTTGGTCACCAGCCGGAAAATGCTGAATGTCACTGATAAGAGCGCAGGCTTCAGTTACTCTGGTGTACTTAGACTCATCGTACGCTTCACCAAACAAAATGTTCTCTCTTATAGTTCCTGAAAATACCCAAGCTGTTTGAGGCACATAAACGAGACTACCCGGATAAGTAACTGTCCCGTTTGTGTGTGAACCCTCACCAGCGATTGCTGATAAAAGAGTCGATTTCCCACTTCCTACTTGCCCGGTGATAACTGTCAGAGTACCTTTTTCAGCTCTTAAATCGAAGTCTTGTAGAATGAATTTTTCTTCAAGGTTAACTTGTTTCACTGCTAATCCCGTTACACATAAATTCGTTCCCTCTTTATAAGGTTGCTGTCTCTCCAGGTGCTCCGCCTTCTCCGGAACGGAGATGTTTTGCCTTTTCTCCAGACCGTTAATTTTACCAGTTGCCTTCAAATAAGAGTGGTTTACACTATCTTCTGTGACAACACCACCACCACCACCACCACCATCATCATCATCATCATCTTCACTGTCGACGTCGTCTTTGTAATTGCAGATTTCAGGAAGTTCCTCTAAAAGAAGAAAGTCCTCTAACCTCCCGAGCGAGACATAAGCGTCGTATGTATCCATTGATCCGTAGGCCAAGAAAACGCAAACTGTCCTCCGAAGTACACCAATTAACGACAGTAGAAGGAAGACGTTAATAGGTGTAAGGGGCTGCCCAGTCAACACAAGAGTCAAGACAGATACTAGAGACGCCATAAGTGTAGAAGTGTACTCTATAGCGGCCACACCGGATAGAACAGCACTTTTTTTACGGATTATGTTGACTTCTTGTCTTTAAAAAAAAAACAACAACAACAAAAAGCGATGAGTCAGATAGGGCCGGGGATAACAGCAACTAAGGCCAACTACAGCAAACTCCATCCACTACACCAACTTCACCAACCTATAGCATCTATATTAACAACTGTGGAGTATTATAGTTTTTAAGTTGACATGTTTTTTCTATATTCGTGCACAGTAATTTTTTCAAAGAGTTATATTCTGAGTAGCATAGTGCACACAGCGAACATAAAAATCAGAGAATGCGTAAGTGGTTGCTTACTAGAGGTTAAAAGCTATGAAAAATCATTTCACTTTCAGGCCCAAAAAGTGGTCGCGGTCGCTTACGGTCGTTTGCTAGAGGTTCCAACTGTAAGACTTTGACTGGGGAAGTTTAGTTGTTTTGGATTGGCCGTCGCTTAAGGGAGGTGGTGGCACATGGGAGTTCGAGTGTACATTATAGTGCTATATTCGTGACAATTATTGTAAATTCATTACTAGTTTAGTTAGACCATATAAAGTAGTCCTGCGGAGCTGTGCTGCCTCGTTTCCTTGGTTTCTTTTACTTTATTTGCACGATCGCCTTCGAACCTTAAGTTTAATTTAGCGACGTGGCGTCGTATAAAGGTCTTCTCTAAATGGCTGGAATGCAATATAGTATTTTGGTAGCATCACTAAGGAGCTAACTGAGTATATAGATGCAGATTACGGCGTTGGTAGTTATCTTAAATACGAACACTGCTTTCCTTGTGAAAACACGGCGATGAAATTTCTTGTCTTAAATAATTAATACACCTGAATTTCATTCTTTTAACTGAGATCACAACTTCCTATGATTGGTTTTCCTACCTTCGCGTATCCTTTATTTTTTCTCTGAACACATCTTCCCAGGCATTAATTTTGATGGCGCGGATTCCAGCGATAACTTGGTTTATTAACGAGATGCGTTTGTCAGATGCCTCTGCTGAACGTAGACGCAGAGACGCACTGGCGAAGGACAGGCTGCCGAAATATGGCAGGAGGAGGAAAATGAATATTACTCCCATCAAAGTCTGCCAACCGATTAAATAGACGAGCAAAAATGTTCCTGCGAGGAGCTCAAGAAAAGAAATAACCCCAAAGAAAAAGTTTCTCACAGTATCCCACTCCAGTCGCTGGACATCGTTCGATACCAGGTTGATCACTTGACCTGCTGAAAATTTTGACAATGCATCCTTGCTTAGTCGGAGGATCTAAAATGCGAAGAATATAAATATTTGGTACTGATTCAACAGATATTTCAGCATAATACGACAAAACGTACTAATTGCTTGAAGGGACGTATTTTATACATATAAACACCAGGATGTAACTGAATCAAGAGTTGAAGGCAATCAATTTTCAAGTTAAATTGTACCTCTTCTAATACAGAATAACTTCAGGTAAATAAAATTTTTGATAGTTCTTTCTTTTTTCCGTGAGTTTACCGTAATAACAAAACAAAAGGCAAGCAAATAGCAATTTAAAAATTTTAACTTATGCTATTGAGAACAAACTATAAAAAAAACTATTTACAATTTCGTGACAAAAGAGGCCAGCTAAAATCCTTTGAAACCGCGCATATCTAGTGTTTTACAAGGGAGTATCAAGCTGGGCTAGCGGAGATGAAATTTTGAATTGGAAGGGAAAAGGGTGAAGAACGAAAATAATTTTCTCTCCGTTCCACTGGAAAAACTGGACCTTTTACAGGGATAATAAAATGTCTATAAATTGTAAATTTTATAGACTATTAACGAGAGAGCAAATCTTCCCCTATTTCTCAAAGGGAAAACAAAATGTCTGTAAAATCATGTTTGCAGGTATTTCATAAAGTTTTTTTTATGGATGTGTATCAATTATGGTTATGAAAAGTCTGTAAATTTTACTTGCTAAATAAAGTGCGAAATGACTGAGTTTTATCAGGATAGGATAGTTTTTATAGACTTGCCAAAAAGCTCTGAAAAATCTTTATAAATTTTACGTTTATGATTCTCTCAAGTTATTTCATCCCCGTAATTCACTGTCACCCGCTTTTCCATTCTTTCTTATCCTTTTGCCCCCATAATCGCCTGATACTCAGGCTAGTTTATAGGCTATGATTGCTCATGCAGCGAGCTTTATCCTTGCTCACCTTGAGATAAACTAATCCTTTTAGGGCGCTACTGATTCTGATAGAAAGCCTTTCACATCGCCAGCCGTACTGATGTAAGGCGATGCAACCGAGTAAAGCATTGGCGCCCATGCCTAACGCATAACCATAGCCTAGGTAATTATTCTGCCGTTCCTCTGACATCAGAGCTTTTGTCAGGCAACCGAGAAGAAGTGGTTGAAGAAGGCGTGTCAGAGAATATAGAGCGCTGGTAGAAATAATCAACATCAGATCGTAAAGGGGTATGGACTTCAGTAGGCTTTTCCAAAGCTTAGGTTTCTTGCTTTTGTATTTATTACATCTTGCTTTTTCATCGTTCCATTTTTTCTTGAGGCGTTTTGTCAGATAGTGAGAGGTACTTTCTTTGGCAAGCGGAAAGAAATCTTGTTCTTCCAGACTTCGTTCATTACCCGTCCTCAAGACACTATTCATCCATCGAAAGAAGAGAAGAGAAAAAAGGCTGGCTTTTTTCGAATTGCCATCTTCTGCGATCTTTCTGTATCCATATTTTGCCATGTTTACCATTGAATCTAACAGAGACCAGAAAACAATGATAAGCGAATCAAATGCCCAAAGAAATTATTATGGATTTGAAATTTTCCTTCAGTTGAGTGAAACGTGCAAACCAAGAATTTAGAATTATTACCAAGTAAAAAGAACAGCCAAGTGAATGCATGCATTAGCCCAAAACATTCTAAAATAATTATGTTTTTCACTAATACTGTATATAGCTTAAGATTCCTCCGTTGACAAATCTGAATTCTCTATCTATAACAAAGAAAGCCTTGTATCAAAGTACAATTTATGGAATTGAAGTTATCTTCGTCACTTACAAAAAATATTATGGAACTGTTAATAAATATGATTAGCGTAAAGGACAACCGAAAAGACTACTTAAAAAAGCGTTAATGCATGGTAAATATCTAACAGAAAAATATCACTGAGGAAAATGAGATCACAGACGTAATCCAGAATTTTAATTCTTTCTTTTCTTTCCCCGGAAAATCATTATGTGAAGAAAAAGGAAGTCTTTCTAGGCCATCGCCTATTAGTTTTAGGTTGTCGACGTAACATAAATAATCGGATACTTAGAAACTCCACTTTACCTGTTTCACGTACCTGATACTGCTACAGCAAGGAGGTTCCAGGGGCCTATAACTTGTTAAATTGCCTGTTTTCTTATGCACCTAAATTTATTTGAAAGATCATTATTTTATTGCTAAAAAATCTAATAACATCTATTATAAAATTCTCCAAGAAACGCTGAGACTTCAATAAATAATGTAAACAAATGAACGGAATCCAATAGGTCAGTTTTGGTTTATTAAAATTCATACTTAAATTCTAACGCCGAGGGGGACAAAACAAGATAAATCGTATTAAGATTCAGAGATCAATAGTTGAGAAAACGCCGACATTTCGAGACGCCACCACTGATTTTTCCGCGAAATGACGTCTGAGAAACGACTGCAGAAATTCCATACTCATGGTGGAACACTATCCAGATCTGGGTTGTGCTTCTGATTGGCTGAATACCGTAAAATTCCGAAAATAAGCCCCTCCATGCATAAGCCCCTCAAAATCGTAACTCAAGTAACCCTCCGTTAAATCGCCCCCCGGAATATAAGCCCCGCGGGGCCTTGTAATTGGATTTGCCCTCGAATACAAAGTAAAACAAAGCAAAAAATGGTAAATCTCCTTCCCACTAAAAGCTAGTTCAATCGATTTTGAAACACAAATTTCCCTCCGTACATAAGCCCCTCAAAAAGGGCCTTTGAAAAATATAAGCCCCTGGGCTTATGGGGAATTTTACGGTATTTGATTAATCCAATCAGAAGCGTTATCCAGATCGAGGTAGTGACGCGTCATCAGTATGGAATTTCTGCCCTCGTTACTCACACGTCATTTCTCAGGAAACCAGTGGTGGCGTCTCGAAATGTCGCCTGTTTTTTCAGGCTAAGGTATTAAAGAGTTCTTTTCTTTTGTTCATCCTGCCTAAGCCTCGGGGCTAAGTATGAATTTTAATAACTCAAAACTGGCCTATTTAACGTTAATTATTTTCGAAAACTCGTTCAACGAATCTTTCATTTATCACGGGGAAAAGCCTCGAAATTTGAGTTTAATCGGCGTCATTAGGGAGCTTAAGCAACGATGACGGCGCCGGATGTCAACGAGAACGGTATAAAAGCAATAGGTTTAGATTCTTGGCAAAACAACAACTTTGCACGTATTTCACGCTTTTTTGTACATTTCTTTGCCGTCACTGCACGACTACGAATTGAAAATGCCTAATCACGTTTTGTCGAGGACGTGAACACAGGGCAACGACTTTTTTCTTCTCGTTCTGAACTTCGATACAGTCTTTTAGAATCAACTAAAAAGATAGCCAAGATTTGAAGAATTAACTGAGATAGAATAAGCGCAATAAAGTTAGAAGCAGCGCGACTTCACGTTTTTTAGTGACGTTTTCGTTGCCGTCGCCTTCGTTGTTGCTTAAGTTCGCTATTATTCGATTAACAACGATTACCAACGACGTTAAATCTGATAACATTGGACAATAACTTGCTGCCTATAAAATAAAATTGTTATAGACAGGTCAGTCCCTTTACAAATCAGTAGCAAAACAAGAATGCCAGAAAGATGAAATTGAAATATTGTCATTCAAATTTCCTGGAATATTTCATTTCCAAAATCCCCTTTTACGTCAAAACGAGTAGTATGTTGCTCGGAAACTATGCGGTTCCTAAAACGGACGTTTGTTTGGCGGAAACCAATAATTCTGGAACTTTCATCTAATCGACTTCTTACCTTGCGAGCATAGGTTTCTCTCTTTCATGGCTTTTAGCGGCTACGTAGTCGTTCGCGTGGATTGTCTGTCGCGTAATTGAGCCACGCGAACGACTTCGTTGACGCTAAAAGCCTAAAGAGAGAGATGAAATTTAAAAAAAAATTGCGATTTCTTTTTTATCACAAACACCGCTAATAATCTCTAAAGGACAATTTTCTTACAAAAAAAACACTTGGTTTTTAAAAACTTTTGGTACTTTAAATGCGCTACTTTCCTAGTAAATGGCCCCGTGTCATTTTGAGATGGGTACGATGCAATACGGGTAACATGAAACTAACCGTATCTTCCTTTATTTTTCTTTAACTTTTAGAGTATGAGAAAAGTTAGTTTTAAAAGCTTAATAAAAAATTGGTTGAAATATTTTAATTTTTTTTTACCATTTTTGTATACTTTTTTGAATTTTACATCGTTTGCCGTTTATATATTGTTCATTGTCTGACTGTGCGAGAAAAGCAAGGCTGACTGAACAGCTATGAGATTATGTTTCCAATATTTCGTCAGGCACTGGCGGTCGCACTTCTTCAAAGGGCATGACTACTGGCTAAAGGAAAGGTCGTTAACATTTAAAAACTAAGAAATAAAAGGATATTATAGGAAAATTCATTACCTGACGAGGGAATTCCACGTTACTGAATTGCACGCGAAAACCGATATCGCACTGATCGCTTCGCGATTCGTGCGATATCGGTTTTCAAGTGCAATTTAACCTTGACTTCACGAGTCAGGTAATGGATTTTCCTTGAATCGCCTAATTGAATAAAAAAAAAGAAAAGAAAAGAAAACAGCAATAATATTGTTTGTTTTTATCCTGAGCGCGCGCTCCAGAAAGCCATCTCAAAGTCAACTGTCAGAACTGTCATTGCGTTAGCGAATAGGAAGCAAGGTCAGTCGTACATGTTTGAACCTTCGACAACTTTTTTTGTATCTTGTGCTTGTTTTTACATTTGTTTTCAAACTTTTTTACATGTAAACAGGCTTCACACTAATCGTAAGGATAAATAAAGGTATTTCACTGAATTTACAAGCCGTTTATCTATAACATCTTTTTTCAAATTGCTCGAGAAGGAAAATAATTTACACCTTTTACCTCTTCGGCGTACTTTAAAAAACGCTTTTGTTTGTTTTAACTCTTCAAAAGGTGACAATGGTTTTGAAAACATTTTAAAATGACATTGTAGAAAACCTTTTTTGCAGTTGTTGTGTTAGAATTTGACGATAGATGCGAAACAATATCGCTTAGCCTCGTTTTGAACTCTCAATTCCACACTAAATACCTCGCTTCGTTAACCAATCAGAATGCGAGATTTTACTCAGTTATGCGATTCTATATGATAACAAAAAGACCGTTAAAATTCGAAATATATTAATTCCCCAGTTCCCTGAACAAGTCAAGAGTAGCTTATCCTCAGTCTCTTGAGTCAGTACAAGCAGCCTTGTTTTTTTTTTACTGTTAACTTACAAAAATTTTGCTAACTAGGTCCATCAGAATGTGGATCCTTAGTTCTTTACTTTTGCCCTTGCTATTTATGTATCAAACAAAGAGCCGGTTTAATTGTCACTGTATGTAATTCCTTCTTCCAAGAGTCGCTTTTTTTACAATCCCCACTGGCGAATTTTATTTCTGAGTTTCAGTTGTACACGGCAGCCATTTATATTATGAGTGGTTACCTAGCGCTTCCGGGGTAACCAATAACATATCTTGATTGGAGCTGAAGCGGTCTTGAGATATCTAACACAGTCCTTAAACGCTTCTCGTTTTCACCAAATATCTGCTTATGATTAAGTTGCAAAGTTCTTGAAAACGCTAAGCATTTTCTCTCTTGCTGAGTTCGAAAACCTCCATACGTTGTCCTATTAAATATCGGAGTTATATACTTTTCTCCCAGTAAATAAGGAAGGCAGAACCTCGAAGTTGTTCGTCGCTCCATAACTCTTCCATTATTCGTATTTCCGCATTTTACGTCTTGTATTACTCTCGTCTCCATCATTTCAACAGAGTTAACTTTTGTCGGAAGAAGAAACGCTCGCATTTCTGACCTCTCCGATTTCCACAAATCAGAATTCAAGTTTTCGTCTTCATTTACAAAACGTCGAATATTAACGACTCTTATCTTGTCTCTGTAACAGAGTCTGTATGGTGTTTTCCTCTCGTTATTTTCGCTATCTGGCAGAATTTTCGCGTCAAATTTTAGCGACGAATTCATAACAAACGAAAAGTTGTCGTACAGTTCTTTAACGTTCCATCATGTGTAAAGTTACCGGTCCGAGCCTTGTGCGCTTGGGCGCTGAACTGACTGAGCTTCTGAGTCGTCCGTTTGTATTTGAGAACTAATAAAAAAACTGATCAACAACGTGTGACATCTGGTATTCACTTTTTTCATCGGTATTTGCTTTCTCTCTCCTCATTGTTTGTCTAGGAATAATTGACAATTAAAACTATAGCCGCTATCTTTAATAGGCTTTGACGCAGGAACTCATTGTTCTCTTTTGAAAAACACTCCTATTCTTAATAAATATATATATATATTTAAATATTCGTAATGATTTTAGCTATCCAACATTTCAATTTCTTCTCAAAATATAATAGTGTTTTCTTGTTTAACGCTGAATTACGTTGAACTTTTCAGCCTATCTTTTTGATAGCCGAACTGGTTTGTTCTTGTAACTAACGAAAGTTTTATTGATTCACCGCTCCTTGTCGGGACTTACAGTGCTGATTAGACTCAAACTAATAAACAATGCATTTAGTTTACGTGTTTCAACAGCACCTACTTTTAAGCACCTTAATAGCTGTTAAGGATTCCTTTTATCAGTAAAATAAGTACGAAATCGATTCTGTTTTTCTAGGCAAAGACTTTAAAAGCTAAGAAAATCAACCTACGACAACACCGATAGAGATCGAAAAGAGTTCATGCATCTTTTCTTCAGCAAAGTTTTGTTTTGGGAAAATAATTCGTACTTGTTTACTGTACACAACGTATCAGACTATGAACCTGTGATAGTCTTGCTATTCATATTTATTTATTCAGGCATAAAACAACTCAAGACTAACTTATAGCTAGCCTGAATTTCCCTTGAACTTTTCATTTCTCCATGCACTTCTCACTTAAATCGTCTAGAATGCAATTTGTGGCTGAATTTACTTCGAAAAAAGTTTTGTGCACTACTAAGCAGCCATTCCAACTCCAGTTTTTTTTTTCCTATAAATTGAATTCATTTTATAGTTGTTTAGATAGTAGGTCTTACTAATCCTTCAGAAACAAAAGAAGGTTTGAAAGCCCTGTGTTCATCACAGGTGAACGTTGACCAAATGAAACCCAGTACAGACTTGGTAGACATACTGGAAGGTCTTTTACCCTTTTCGAACCCCCCCCCCGCTCCCCAAGTGAATGATGGAGACTGGAAAGTGTTTTTTACTCACCGCTTTTGAGTCTTTGGACGATTTGATTCCCTATGGTGTGACCATTCAAATGAAAACTTTTCAGCAATACTTTCACATGGTACTATTTATTCAGTATATAGTACTAACTTTTGTGTCTGTGAAATAGAACTTTAATAGAATCATCCTTTCTTTGCGGGTGTGGCTAGCATGGATGCTGGAGCGTTTAGTAAGTTTATCTACCAGTTGCTTAGGTGCGAGACCCTTGAAACATTTGTAAGTTAAAACAGAGTCCCTATAATACAATAATTGTTTGACAGGAAGCCAGTTAAGTTGGCGGAGTAAAGGGGTCACGTGGTCAAATTTCCTAGAACACGTTACAATTGTTCTTGCAAAGTTCTGAATTGACTATAATTTGTTTATGTTCTGAGTTGAAGTATTAGACCAGACGGTTGAACAATAAAGCATTTTGCTAAAAAATAATGATGTAATTAACAGCTTAAGTGTCTCTTTGTCAAAGCTTTCTTTAACTCTGTTTATTTGATATAGCTTAGAAAAGGAGGAAGAGACTGTTTTTGAAATATGATGGCCGTAAGTCAAGTGAGGATCTAGGATGACTCCCAAGTCCTAGGCGGAGGCGACAGGTTTTAATGTCGCGCCGAGAAAAGACATGCTGAGGTTCTGTGGTAGCCTGTTTAACATCTGTCTGGTTCCAAGGAAGAGGAGCTTGGTTTTATCTGGGTTTATGAGTAAGTTCCTTTCTCACAGCACCACTGGGCTACGCTGAGAAGATCATGTTCCAGCTTTTCAATAGCTGCATCCAGTTCTATCAACGGAAAAGACAGGAATTACTTCGAATCATCAACGTATGATTCCAGGTTGCAAGAGCTAGTTGCTAAGGATAGATCATTCAGATAAATACAGAATAGCAGTGGTGATAAAATCGCTCCTTGAGGAACGCCATGGGTGATTGGCAGAGTGTCCGAGTGGGTGGAGCCGATTCTCACGTATTGATAGCGACTAGATAAGTAGCTCTTGAACCAGTTGACAATCGAGGGCGAGGCTCCTACGATGGAGAGTTTGTGAAGCAGTGTTGCATGGTCAATGCTGTCGAAAGCTTTCGAGAGGTCTAGGAAGACTAGAGCGGTAATCTGCTTTTTGTCCATTGCTTCAAGTACACTATCCGTGAGCTAGATACTTAAGGTCTCTGTAGAGTGCGCTTTTTTATCACCGCGTTGGTAGGACGTAAGGCGTTTGTTGTCTAAGAGGCAGGTGTTGAATTGATTCAAAATAATCTTCTCTCACATACTTTTGATGCAACAGCTAGAAGAGATGATGGTCTGTTATTGGCTGCTTCTTCGTGATCGCCGTCTTTGAGAATGGGTATCACCTCGGACTCTCTTTCCATTTAGCAGGAAATGTACTGGTAAGTATAGAGTAATTAATAATCTCAGTCAAAAGGCCGCGTGTGACATGCAAGCAGTCCTTTAGTATGCGAGCACTAATTTTGTCAGGTCCAGGTGATTTATTCAGCGGTAGAGATGCTACAACTCGACGAACCTCCTCACATGACAGTGTTCAGTAAACTGAATAGCTCATTAGGGGTTGGGCTAGTATTCGTATTCTATGGTGTCACCATTCAAATAAAACCTCTTCAGCAGTAGTACTTTAACATGGTACTATTAATTTATTTAGTATGTAGATGTTCTAACTTTTGAGTTTGTGGATGAAATCCAATGGTGTCACTATTCAAATGAAATCCTCTGCCTGTACTTTCACATTGTACCATTCATTAAGTCTAAATCATTCTAATTTTGGGTCTGCGGGTGAAATCGTATGGTGTCACCATTCAAATGAAACCTCTTCAGCAATACTTCACGTGATGAAACATTTTGTTTTTCAGCACAAGACAAAATTAACTTTATTTCAAAATAATCTCTTTTGAGCCACAGTTGTGTTGTAAATCTTCATCGTGAACAGCTTACAACATTCGAGCTTCTTAAGTGTGGAAGTTTTAGTTTCAAAGATTGTGGCTCGGCAACATTTCTGGACCCGTTGCAATCGTCATATGTAAAACCATCCTTGCCTTTATTCAACTCATCATTCAGCTCCATCGTTGAAATTTCTTTTCCGTAGTGCTGCAGCTGAGTAATTTCTTTGTTTCCACAATCTACAGGGATATCTCTGTATCCCGTGTAATACAAGGCCCGATAAGTGTCGTAGTTGGTGATACATGGCAACTCATAAATTGGAGGAAAGAGACTGGGCTTGCTAGTAAAGCTACTGAACTGCGATTTAGCAGTCAAAATTTCCTCATGTCTTTCGCCAAAGGGAACAATGTCTCTCCAAGTGCACAACTGCCTCTGTCTGTTCTTATGCAAACGCTCTAGTTTCTTCTCTTGGATTTTGCCATAAGGGAGGCAATGACAGAACTCATCTCTCTTTTTTCTGTTCTTCATCACTTCGTTTGTGATCAGATTAATCTTACTGCGCAACCAAAGAAACTGAGCACTTTAAATTTCTTATATTTTCTCTTTTGTGGTATAAATAAACGCCGCGAAATGTCAGCTGAAAGTTCACAAGTTTGCTTAACTTATAATTTCTTCAGTTCATTATAGATAAGGACAAGGTGTATTGTCCTTTGTTATTGTTTGCCGTAAAGTACTTGACGTTCAAATATCTTGAATAAGGTTTTCCACTGCTAGACGCGGTCGCTCCACTGAAACAATATGATCATACACGGCAATACCTCGTTTTTACCGCAAAGGCTTTACACCAACTAATTACTGCACAAAGCTGAAAGAGTCTAGCCGGGACAGTCTCAATATAGTCAGGATTTTGCTATCCTGTTGAGGTGCTCTTCTAGTCTCTAAATTGTTACAGAACTTCCGTGCCAAATATTTACTTGGATATCGTGCAATACATGAAGTTTGTACTGCACTTTTGTGTAATCCCGGCCTCATACAATATTGGTTTATTTGTGAATCATTGTTTGTACTTTACAATGCATGCAAATAAAAGACTGAAAACCCGAATTGTTCAAGATACGTCATTGAAGTTACAACTAATCCCATAAGATCTGTAAACTTTGTAACCTTAGCAACTGGTTAATACCTAATTTTTAATCAATTTAAATTTGAATAAATTTCCTGACAATGGTGTCTTGAAACGGAAATATGAAATAAAGGCGCCGAAAACTCACAGTACTGATAAACAGGACAATAAATGACTTTGATTAAAATAACTTATGTCTTGCATTTAAGGGGGGGGGGGGGGGGGGGGAGATTTTAAAACAGTTCACCTTTGTTGGCGTCCTGAAAGCGCTTTGTAATCTGGATGGTATCTAGATTAACAAGATAAAAATACTCCAATCAAACACAAAATCTTCATACCAAAAGCAGTCGATAAGGCAAAAACCACACTAAACTATCTAAAAAAAAGTTAGGTGTAAAAGGGGGGGGGGGGGGGGGGGGGGGGGGGGGGGTACTTCGAAATCAACGCTACCGAGTTTTGATAGCGACAACAGTTTTTAACGTTGATGGATACTATATAATCGAAATATACAGACGCTTATCAAACACAAAATCGCCATGCTCGAAGCGGACAGGGTATATGTATTTACAATTTTCCTGCTTATAAAATCTAGCAGTGGAAGTTTTTAGGAACTTGGGAAAGGATTCATTGGCAGCCGTCAATAGACTAAGTATTAGCAATAAGTCAGAGCAAGTTCTTGGGTAATTCAGGGCCTGGTTTCACATCGTGTGATCGTGAGGTATTCACAGCACGCTCTACTTTCTTTAATTTTTAATTCTTATCTTATGTGTTATGAATTTTTAAAGACTACATATATTCATTTCAATTTTAATGATTCGGTTTTAATCGACGGTTTCCAAACAACGAGTTTATCTACCGAAAGAACTCGATCGACAAATATCAAAATAAACGCCAATTTTGAACTTCAGGGTTTTGAGAATGAATTCTCAATGATAAAATGTACACGGTCTACCTTTAAAACCAGCCCCATCAAAAACCATTTACTAAAGTATGTATGAAGTAGATTTTGAAAGTACTGTAGCCTTCGTCTTTCAGAAACCAAATATATCCAAAGAGATAATATTCAGCCGGTTTAAAATAAAGAGTACCTCTCAGTGGTCCTCGATGAAAACCCTTAAGTTATAAAACATTCTGGATATAAAAATTTGGAAACTAAAAACACTCGTGCTACTGTGGTCAGATTTTCTTTTCGCGATAAGAAAGTTTGGCCTGAGGTCACGGCCACAGACACATCTGTACTCATGGAAACGGCGGATTTAATTTCAGTTTTTAAGAAGCTGTCAATAAGTGTGAACCAAAGGGGAACTAGAAAGAGACTTTCCATAACTCTGATGTACGCTCGATAAAACTACAAAAAAAATTACAGTTCAAGAGAAAATGGAAGGTAATTAGGAGCCAAAGGGTGAAAATAATGGTTTGAACCACAAGGTTTTTTCTCAGGTGCGTAAAGAGAAAGATTACAATTATTAAGACTGCGGTGCATGCAAACACGAGCTTTAGACACTTAGGTTTAAATTATCACACCAGTGAAAAGAGAGATGAGTTCCACAGTTGACGCAAGTCAAACTTCGATCAAGATTTCTGAATATGATTCTGATGATGAAATTTTACAGAAGCAGGAGGAATGTGCAATAGGTGAATTAACGACAGAGGACGACTCACGTGGATACAGCTTCCGTTCATGCCACAGAACCAAATCAGGAAATGGAACTGGATGTCGCCACTCTCGATCCACTTATCTTTATGAAAGGAATCCACTACAAGATCCTCGCTTTACAAGGCTGATCGAGCTACTCGTGCCTTTGCGTATTCAATTACAAGTGGAAAAAAAGAGTAAACTGGATTCTAAGAAAACAATATCCCCACGCGATGAGATTTGTTTTAAAGATATCTGCCTCAACGAAACTTGCCGTTTAGTGTTTAAAATAATGAGCAAAGGCAATGAAAACGGAGAAGCGCAACGATAAAAAAGTTCTGGATCGTTTTTCTCCCTGATCTCTAAAGATTTTCAAGACTTTTTTAGTATAAATTTCACCTGGATTGATGACGACATCTCCTGATCTATATTTATATTTAATTATTCACCATTTTCGCTTCTTTACACGCATGCTCCATGGTCATACCGGCTATTTATTTAAACTGTTGTCTAGTGGTTACAGTGATCTCAAATTAAAAGTACTTTCCGCAAAAAATTTAAAACCTTGAGAATTTTAAGGCCATGTCAACATGATATTTTATAGGATAGCCCCTCTAAGGGACAGACCATTAGAAAAGAAGTTATGGGGGAGAGGGGGAGGGGAATTTTCGAGACGCAGGATTTTTTTTCGTTATCAAATTCTTGTATGAATTTTTTGTAAGCCAAAGCATGAATATTTTTTAGGATTAATTGGCGTGCATGAATTTTTTTCATTTAATTTTCCCTTGCGCGAATATATATATTTTTACTTTGTCCGCTCCTCCCCCCTCCCCCAATAAGTTTTCTTATGGTCCGTCCCTAAGGGCTTTACAATTTAAGAAGCACGTGCAATCTAATTCACGAACGTCTTGAAACAGAGTCTTTTTCTCCAGCTGTAATATTCGATATTCTTCCATACATCTTTGTCTATCTCAGAATTTGTCCTAATACTTTGGTCTGTAAAATGATCCAATTTTATCCAGTGTTGTAGTGCCAATTTTTATCAGTGAGAAATATAAAATTGAACTTTAGTGAACCAAGAATCTAAAATATACAATCGCCTTATTATTAATTAATTAAAGTTCTAGCAATCAATAGGCGTGAGTGAGCGAATTAAACTTTGAAATCTAGGATCTTGCATCCCATCCATGGAAGGGCGGTCTTCGCTTTTATTGCACTTTGCTGATGAAGTACTCAACACCGCTGAAACACTCTCCGATCTCTCCGTTGAAAAACTAATTTGTGTTCTTGTAGTTTCTGTGATAACAGTAGCGTTAGTAGCTACTTTAGGTTTAGGTTTTTGATGAGCTAGTTTACTAGGTGTGGACATTGTTGCTCTAGCCTCGTCTTTTCTATTCGCTTTACCCAGCAAAAATGGATTCCTAATATTGTTTTCATTTTTTTCAGGATGTCTCATCTTTCCAAAGCAAATTGCATCATTCGCTGGCTTCTCCAAACAATATTTTCTGTTGTGACGATCCATCTGCTCCAATAATTTGAGTTGTCGAAACTTTGTTCTAAACACTTGAAAGAAGTGCTGTCTCCTTTCTTGGACTTCGTCAGGCAAACAGTCTTTACCTTTGCATCTAGCCATGCATTTCAAGTCATGTAGCCGCTGTTTCTTGCTTTCTATGGCTTTGAACTGCTCATATCTGAATTCTACAGTGCGATCAGAAGCTTTTACACACCGACCTAACCATACTACCTTAACAACAAATTCTGCAGCGTGTTTGAATGATTTTATCCGTCTTGGCTTTCGCCAAATTGGCGCAATATACAGTGTATGGACAGCTTCAAAGTCTGGAAACTCTGCCATTGCGTAACGTAGACCGGCTCGGTTAGATACTGATTACGGGTTTTCAGTTAATACGTGTTTTTATAAAATACTGTACGTGCGTAATTGACGCAACTAGCCGCAGGAACATCTTTGGTACCATTGTTTATAATCCCTCCATGCAAAGGTTAATTTGTTCCTCTATTCATAGGGTGTTAAAACGTTAATTCATTGCATGATGAATATTGGTCAGTTTTCGTAGATAATTCTGCGTTTTGCGTATGAAGACAATGAGGAAAATATACTGATCGACAAGAACAGGACATTTAAATTAACCCTTTAAACCCGTGATATCAGAGTTCGAATTCTCATTTGTTGTTCCTAAGTAGTCAGCACTAATCGGCTCCTGAAGTAGTTGAAACAATTTGTTGAAGTATCAATAAGATTCGATTATCTGTGATCATTTCCTTAATTCTCCTGATCAATCTGTTTTGAAGTATTGATATAACAAGAGAATTTTCATGCTGATCAATCTTTGGGCTTCAAAAGTTAAATTGAAGTAACTTTTATTGGAACAGCCAAACGGATAGTTACTGGAATCAAATATAGTGCCCTAAATAGAAATGTCCCGGGGGGAAACCCCATATAGACGTGTCAGGGATAACCCCACCGGAGACCAATGTGGGTGTGGCTCAAGCTTAAACTGACCCCCAAGGGAGATTTCTGTGTGGTCAGTGTCAGGGCCTTTTTTTTAAAAAAATTCTTTGTGCACAGTACTAAGCAATACCTGAATGGGCAAATATAGTACCTTTCCATCCCAAACACCGTAATTTACACCCAAAGCAAGACAACGAACATCCCAGTCACTTTTAGGGAGCTCCCCGCCCCCCCCCCTGGAGAAATGTCTCAGAAATTACATTTTTTATTAGAGACTATCACATCAATCAGTGAAAAGAATATTGCTGACAATGTATAACCCAACGAAACAAAACTGGTAATAAGCGATTTCCGCAAAACATGGCGTCAAATCTGGTAGTTACGTCACGCGATACGTGATACGTGACGGGCCACGCATGTAAAAAAGGGTGTTCCCTGGTGTTGAGGAAATATTTCTTTTGTATGTGATGTTGAGTGGGTCCTTTTCAAACGTTTCTATTATGTCATTTGGGGAAACACCAATTATAACACATTTCAAAAGTCCAGCGTGAAAAATTTGACAAAGCAGCCATTTTATATGACGTCACAGGTCGTCAGCCGCGCTGTATCCAATATTTTTACGTCATCTAGTAAAATTAATCGTAGGCTATCTTTTGCATGTTTATTTTTTCAAAATAAGGTACGCTATAGTATGGGACGTCCGAGGGATTTGATAGAAATAGAAGATAACGGATCCAAGATGGCCGTTAATGATTGAATCAGTCATGACTTCATGATGACTTACTTTTCTCCCAGGTTCAAAATTATTGCGTACCGTATTTATTCGATTAACCGCCCTGGGCGCTTATTAAATTTTTGGACCTTGAGAGAGTGGGCGCTTATTTGAGGTGGGCGCTTATTAAATTTTTACCATTTTCAGTAAGTGAAGTATGTTTATTTTGCAACAAAACGATAAATGCTAATAACAAAACGCGAAGAAGTAACAAAGCAAGGTTTCTGTAAAATACTCTGAAGAAAACTCCGTCCTCGGGAAGTCTCTTATTAAAATTTATTCCCTCAAGTGGGTGGGGTGGGGGTGAGCGCTTATTTGAGTTTGATTGGGAGGAGGAGGGGATGGGCGCTTATTAACTTTTTCTACCTTTAGGATGGGCGCTTATTCGAGGTGGGCGCTAATTCGAGGTTGGGCGCTTATTCGAATAAATATGTTATTTCAGTATATCAGGCTACTTTTGGACTTAAAGCCTACACTGCCACGTAGAAAATAAGCTTAATGTAAAACAGAAGCAATACTAAATATATTTTGACATAATTACACAAATCTAAAAGTATCAACAGGTCCGCACGAAAGGCTTTATAGTTGGGCCGGACCCACCCCATTTCCGGGATAAAAAGAAAAATGCTTTCACCGTTTTTATCAAGGCATCCGTAAATTGTGGGTGTGCGTCAGTGGCTTTTGGCAACTTTGATCAACGCATTAATTTCGTCTGGCCACAGGCCACCCACGGGCCTTGCAAACTTATTTCTAGTGCGTACCGGCTTTGGAACATTTTTATCGCTTGACTTTACCACCCTTGTTTCTCGCCATTTCTCGTTTGGGCTTTTCCTACCTAAACTTGCGCTTAAAGTGTTTTCGTTTTCCCTTGAAACTTTACCATGATTTGTGTTGGTGATTTTGGTAAAACCGTTTTGAACTTGGTTTGATGGTGGTATGAGTGCTTTTAACAGTCGTTGGAAGCGGGGGTCATGTATGGGCCCTTCTGCCCTCTTGCTATTTTGCCCTATTCCCGGGGAGTAAATCTCTTCATTTCTTTCTTGAAAACTAAGCCTTTCCTTAAGAGTTCTGAATGACTGAGCCTTGTGTTTCCTTTGTTTGGGATCTTTTGAATTACTGGCGTCTTCAGTCAGTCTGTCTGATTGGCATCGTGTTTTTCCAGCGGCTCCATTTGTTTCTGCCAGTTTTTCTGATTTTCTGGTTAAAAGCATTGAAATACGTGTAGAATTCACATCAGGAAGGGTTGTTGTTCGCCACTCACGATCCCGAAGCTTGTCCCACTCGCTTTTCTTGTTTTCGGCCTTAAAAAATGCATCAATTTGAATCTCGTATAGGCGTTGAAACTTTTTCCTTTGCTCCTCTTCAAAGTTCCTGGTGAGAGTCACAATGTTACTCGCTTGTTCCTCTTCATTGGTAATTTGTAAAAACAAGTCTTTCATTGTCGGACTTAGGCTCTGGAGAAAGTTCAACACAATCAACTTGTTTCGGACACGTCTCCAAAACGAAGCCTTTCGAGCTCTGACTTTCTCTATTCGCTTATCCAGCGGCCAAATCGGCGCAACGTGAGGAATAAGCGGAAAAATGCCCTCTTTCCGATCGCCCAGATTCTTTGTAGTTATTTCCCGTCTATTTGAAACGGCCATTTTCCCTTAAAAATACACTGATCTCTTCGCGGGAGAGATTAATATGCTTTCGTTCAGAGTCTTTTGTTTAAAACCTATAAGTGGAAACAATAAGCCCATTAAATGGATAACAATTTAGCTGCCGCACTGGTTAGGAAGATGAATGACGACTGTTTGGCAACCAATCGATTATTTTCTTAAAGGTAATGCTTTGTTGAGGTGGTTTTGTCCGTTGTAAGTATCTCAGTAGTAATTTTTTAATTACCCGTATATCAATATATATCATGAAAAGAAATACTATATTATTGGTGGAAAACAAACTATAATTCATGGCTGGGGCGTTTAGACTTAAGAAAGCAAATAAAATATTAATAGCATATTTCGCTGTAGACACATTTTGACATGCAGAAGCCTGTGTTTATACAGAACATTGAAATTACACTAATTCATGACCAAACTTTAAAATAATGAGATTCATGTTGTTATAAGCCTACACCAAAAACTAATTCTTTGATCCTTAAAAAATAAATATTTTGCTTAGTCATTTTCATTTTATTGCAAAAGATTTCACGATCTTTTCAAACTGTCAATGAACATTCAAATTTTCTTCTTTAACACAAAGAAAGATGACACGATATTTGCGGTAATATGTTTTCAGAACTCCCGCTTTCGCTTTCATCTTTGTTCTTGTCGGCCACTGTGTCGCTCCTTCTCAGCGCAATTTCCTTTAATAAAGCTTTTTAATTTCCCGGCTATACAGTTTTTCAGACTTAAAAGCAGGCGGTAATTAAACTGGCGGGAATGTGTAATCATAATAGCCTAATTGCAGGTGTATAATTCAAAGGGGCCTTGTCACCGAGTTTTATCAACAGTGTGTGTATCAGTGGAGAACCACTGAGCAGACTGAATGACAATATTGCCTGTCCAAGGCTCGGAGAGTAGTCGGGTCCGCGCGCCCATATTTTCGCGCACCTTAATTCACTTACGCGTCATCTACACTATATCCGAGAGCCTGAAACAGGCCATAACAGTAACTATACTACAGCATCAAACCCTTTGACCATTTGCCTCATGACTATAAGGGCAAGTTAGGACTGAAAATTGAAAAAGTTGAGCCAAAGTTTTTATAGTTTCTCGCGTCATTTTGGAGAAAAAAAACAAAAAAAACTCAGAAACCATTGATTATGGTTGAACCTATCTATTCTCGTGTTATTCACTGGACAGGTTACGCTGTACATCTGATCAGCGTGAGTACCGTCAAAGTTCAGCCGTAGTTTACACAAAATCGTTATTGATGTTTTGTGATATATGGCAGTCTTTAGCCTCTTCACTCATGAAATCAATTGTTCACACATATGAAGAACAAGGCGTTCTCTTCAAAATGTTCATCTCACAAAGATGCCTAAAATCGAAACTTAAGAAGCTAAGAAGAAACTCCGCCAAATTCATGCAGTCACTGCAAATACTAAAACAGGAAAAACTTACAATAGCAAGAAAAGCTGAGGCCTGTTTATGTGGAAAACACCTGCCTCGGGTAAAAGGCCCCCCCCCCTCCCAGCCGATCCAAAGGAGATCAATAAAGGGTTTCTGGGTAACTGACCACCTACCCCTTTCCTAAGCCAACATTTTGCCCTAAGTGAGAGGTAAGTGTTAATATTGGCGAAGGGAAGGGGTAGGTGGGCAGTTTCCCCAGAAAGGGATAACAATCCTAAGGGTAACCCCTTTGCCCAATTCAAGCCAACACAGCGTTCGGTATGCTCTGATTGTCTAAACCAGCGCTCGCGCATGTCTGATTGTATCGCCTTGACCGAGGTGACTCGGCTGGGCGCGAGAGTGAAAGTGTTTATGTGGAGAAACGTTGGCCCCGGCTGGGAGGGTGACCCTACCATCACAAAAGGGTTATCCTACTAGGCAGGTCATCCTTCTGGCCGAGCCAACTTTTTTGTTTCTCATTTAAACGGTGCGTCACCTGTTGTAAGGTAAATTGTGAAAAGTTGACTTGCCCAGGGTAGCTCGGGTATGGGAAAGAAGGGGGGGGGGGGGTTTTTTTCCCCGGGAAAATGTTTTCCCCCCAAAACGGGGCCCAAAATTCCCCAAGTAAAAATATTTTAATTTTTTTTTTTTTGCATTATTAATTTTCGTTTTTATTTTTTCCCTTTCCCCTAAAATCCCCATCCAACCGGATAAATCCTTTCCCCGGGGTTAAACTTTGGGGAAACCAATTCACAAACCCCCGGAAAAGAATTTTTACACCTTTTTAAAAAAAGGGGGGGGGGGGGGTATTTCTACCCGGGACAACTGTTCTCCACCTAAACAGGGCCCAAAGATCTCCAAGTACAAATATATTAATTTTGTCTGTTATGCATGATTAATTTTCGATTCTAGTTTTTCCCTTTACGCTAGATAGCGCTATCCAACGGATAAATCACTATCCAGCGGATAAGCATTAGGGAAACCAATTTCACTATCCACGGGAAAGAGATTTATCCACCTTTTAAACAAGTGAGGCCTGATTGTTAATTTTCATAGGCCTCCGGCCAAAAACTCGACTATGTTCGATTTAAGGATGGATTTTATTGGCCATATTCAAGAACAGAAACATTGGATTACCAAGACTGTTCATAGAAATCACTTGTTTTGTACTGTTACATTGGCAACTATGATGTTATTCACGATAGTGAAATATCCTTGTGATTAAGTAAATCATTCCAATAGCTTGCAAAATAACAACAAAACGAAATCTAGTTTGCATCTGTTTGCTTTTTAAATTTCATTTAACCGAATTTGTTAGTAGTAAGTTTTACTTTTTGTTTTTGAATTGAAACGTTTGGAATATTTTGCCTTAAAAATATGTTTCAATTGATTAAGAACTATTTTTATCTCATAAAAATAGTCGTATTTGTTTCCTGGCCCTATTTTAAACAACCGGTTTTTCTTAATTAACAAACAACAAAAGCAAACAACTTAAACTAATTTTCAAGGAAACGACTCAGACAAACTCTTTTTGGGTGAATGTGCTAATAGTTTTCAACACCAGAAACTAAGTTTTTATGTTTTGAATTTTTAAGAAACAGCTATACTTCCCAAAGATACTTATTTGTGTGTAGCCATCCCGCTGTTTTTGTGATAAAACAGACCATGAAGATAACAATTCATAATGCAAATTGACGTCAAATATGTGTAAGACACCTGAGATGGCAAGACACAAGATTTCATACTACGCACGCGTTGCTCTTCGGCCATATTTATAAACGCCCAACACCTGCTCCCAGAAAATACGCTCAGTGGGTTTGTTTATACCAAACAAACGTAACAGTGTTTAAAATTAGACCTGAGTCGATTGTTGTGTCGGAGTTGTGTAGGCGGTTTTCTCGGCAGCAGAATCTATAAGGTAGGTAAGTCGGAACAGAGCCAAAGTATTCCTAACTGTTATTTGAGCTAAGTTTAATTATTCATACAGATATAATACTTGTATGAGCGAAATAATGAATCACTCTGGCTGCTTATAACAGCATATTTCACATATTTTGACAGTTTGTGGTATTCAGCTCAGTAGCAAATTCTAAAACATGGGCAAGAAAAGAAACCAGAAGGCTTCTCGAAGCGAAAAACGAATGCAAAAACTTTATAATGAAGCCATACGAGAGGTGAAGGAACGAAACTTAAACCTTGACGTTTTGCCTGTTACTGACAATGAGGATTTAGCGGACGAAAACTCGGAGGAAGGAAAATACGTTTCACAAAAGACACGAAAGAAGCCCAAAGAAGTCCTTGAAGAATCCATAAAGAAACAAGAGGATTTGAGAAAACCGAGAATTCCTCTTTGTGTACCAGTTTCAAGGCTGATCCCTTTCAAGCTAGACCACGAAAGAGGGTTAGAATTTCCTCGGGATTTTTGCCGCGATCCGACCTCACTCTCTTGGATTCCACGTTCGCAGAGCTCGCTCTTTGATGAAGTATACAATGCAAGAATGTCCCCAAGTTCAGATTTCAGTGACCTCGAGCGAAAAAGGTCTTTGTCGTGTGGGGAACTTTTTGCTGCAAGGAACTCAAGTGTAGGAGACATATTACAGATTTTCCCTTTGCGTGCTGTGGGAGTCGACGAAGTTAACCTCCCCGAGTCTCATGACCGCTCACAACAACTTCCGCCAATTTACCGACAGGATGTTTGGCGGGAAACTATGCGACGAGCTTCAGAGCCTTCACGCTCAATTCCCGCCAAACACGACTCGTGGAACATGAGCGCAATGTCCTTGATGGTAGGTAGGCCAGAACTGTACACAAGAGAGAAATGCAAGTCTTCTGTAAGTCTTGCCGAGAGACGTTTTCGTTTGAGAGCAGCAACGATTACCTTATAGAGGAATAATAACTCCAAAAGTAAATAGTTGAATAGCAGATGGCGTTTTCTCCATTTTTTTCGAGTCCAAAAATTTCTGAAAAGAAAAGCTACGAAGATTACAAGAAATTGGGAAAAGTCGCTCCTTTTTGAAAACAGATACAAAATAAGATATTCAACATTCCCTTTGGCCTAGCAGCTTTGTGTAGTTTTTAAACGAAACGTCTTTGCATGAATTCCCGAGTGCCTCTTCAAGACCTGCAAAGACAAATGTACAGCAAAAACACCGAAATGACGGATTAACATTCAAAGCAAAAAAAATGATTGAATAGAAGAATGGGCAGCCGGCTGCTGAATTGGGTATTATACGTTTGTCATAGAAAATATGGTCAAGATCTTTATAATAACCATGACTGAACTTTAAGTTTGTGGTATGCGTAATTTTCAGGTAATCAAAACCTCCGTCTTTCATTAGCGCTTACTTCACGTTGTACATTAGTCAAAGGATCTTTCTAAGCCAAGTTACGCCATCAGAATTCCTCGAGTTGTAGGATTTTTTCCATTTCTGGCCGGTTCTCCCCTTTTTGGAAACCTTGCGACACATTACCTTTCGTATCCTCATTTCCTGAGGTGGTAACTGGTATGACAACGTTGCTTTGATGGCAGACACTGCAGACGGAGAATTATAGTTTCATCTGAATCAAGATAAAAACGCCTTACATTACGTAACATATCGTTTCAAACATTCTAAGGACACGGTCGCAAGGTAACTGTTACGGTTGCTTATTATTAAAATTGTAACTGCGAAGTAATGTCAAGTAATGTGGTGATTTCAGTGCCAAGGAGTAGAAGGGAAAAGCCAAAGGGAGAACACAATAGGCGTTGTATATTCTACCTCCCCTTCAAAGAAAAAAATTCCACAACTGCATATAATTTGTCAATTGATTACCATGAATATACTAGTTATCATGGGTAAATCTTGTCAGTCAGCAGCTGATTTGTGTAGGGGTGCAAGTTACACGACCAATTGAATTTAGGAAAGTGTCTTAACAGTTTGCCCTGAGACAGTCATTAGCGTTTAGACACAGGCCTTTTATGGGTGCCTTTGACGAGGAATGACAAAAAACGCCTTTGAATACTGAAAATATCATTTTTTTTTTTGCAAGAAAAGAAAAAAAAAAAACACCACTTACGACGATAGCCCACGTCTAATAAAAAATAAAGGTAAAACTTAGCTTTGTTCTCGTCGTCATTGAGTATTCTACTAAGGTTGCAAACCCTCCACATGGGTTGTTTTGTGCAAGTATTATACGTTCAGTGCATAGCCTGTGATTAGCTACAATTTAATATATCTATTATGGCCTAGAGCGTTGCTGGGGACTTGTGACATCACTCAGAATCGTCAGCATCTTGAAGTTTGGCGAAAATTCTCTTTTTGGCAAATATTTAAAGCATCTTTCAAGCCTGACCTAATGATATGACGTCATCTCTTGTAACCATACCAACCGTTCATAATTGTGTCTGAGGAATAAATCGAAACAGATACACGAAGAGAAAGGTTCTGGCATAAAGGCGTTCGGAAAAAATCCCGGAAAAACCTTATGTGGGGCTGGTACTGAGGAACGTTGAGGGAGACATGAATGCAACAACGTTGACTATGAACCAGTAGAAAAGATTGTACTCAAAATTCTTGCAATTGCTTGCATGCTCGCGCAGTATCGTCAGTATTGCTCGAAATTTTGTAAATCCTTATTTGGGTCAAAATGAATGTAATCTGTATGGTGCTTAACTCCTATAACTGTAATTGGTTGGATCACGATAAGATCTTTGCTGAGGTGTCACTCAAGCTAGCTCAAAGTACTTGGTGCATGTACTCTAAATTATTACACTGTTTACTATTTTCTTTTTTCACATTTTAAAGAAAAGGATTTCCATAAGGATTGCTGAAAGCGCAAAATATAAGAAGTGCTCGTTGTTCGCGAGTTGTACTTTCTAAAATGCTCGTTGCTCGCAAGGCCAATTTTTATCCCTGCTTGTGCTCGCCAAAAAAAAAAAAAAAAACGCAGTGCTCGCCCGCTCGCGAATGCTCGCAAAGACCATTCATCACCTCTGCTATTTATCCTAATGTCTTGTGAACGTACCGAAATTTATGGTACATCTAGATATCGATCCAGACTCAGCCTGAGAAAGTTGCCGACATCCTGAGACACCATTGGTTTCCCCGCGAAATGACGTCTAAAGAATCAGCGCAAAAATTCACACTGATGACGTGTTACACTGGGAGTGCTCCTGATTGGTAGTGCTGCTTGGGAAATTTACTTCAACCAATCAGAAGCACTTTCCAGATATGGCTAACACATAATCAGTATGGAATTTCTGCGTTCGCATTTTGCGTTCGTTAGAGTTTTGTTCGTTAACCTCAGACGTCATTTCGAGGAAACCAGATGCGTCGCAAAATGCTTGCTGTTTTGACAACTGTAGTTGCCGTTGTTGCAATTCAGCTAACAATGTCACTGATATCTATCGTATTATTTTTGTTATAAAAGCGATACCAGTGCTTCAATAATTACAAACTGTTTATTTTTGATACAACGGTGATTTATTGAGAATTTCAAGCATATCAAGCTAAAGTGGAAAGTTGATGTAACGAAACCAAGGTCGCAGCAATCTTGGAACCCTCTTTATGTCGGATTTCAATCTCGTTAGTCTAAAGAGCGCTAAAGATGATTCAAAAGTTATCAAAGTCAAAAGATTGAATACTGAAATAACCTTAAATGAGAGGGACGTAAGAGTTGGCAGTGATGCCTTTTTGCTCGATTTTTGGTGTGGTTTTGCGGAATTTTTTTTTAAGTTACGGTATTGCGGTTTTACAAAACCAAGCGGTTTGCGGTATTTAGAAAATTTCGTGTAGTTTCATTGTGGTTTTCTTATGTCATTCTGTGCGGTTTTGGGTATTAGTACCTCCCCTTACGCTCCCCTCTTAAATGGTAAGCCACAAGGCGGGGAAAATCATTTATGATATGGCATGCGCCATAAACGAAAAAAATTTCAGATATATAATCTTTTGGATATCTTTATTATAGTAGAACTCTCTTTTAATTTTTATAGGTTTGGTAGGTATTGTTTAAAAGTTATTTCATAAACTCTCTCAACTGAAGAGACAGCGAGACCTCTTTCCACCACCTGTTGGGTATTCCATGGACTTGGAACAGTCTATACTATTTATCTATTATTATTAAAAAAGAAAGTAGAGTAGCTATTTTGTTTTTATTCCTGTCCGTTTTTCTCGACGGATGAAAAAAAAAGTAGACTGAGCTTAGCTTAAGGTTGCTCCTATTTTAGATATCCTCTAAGGTTTTAACGTTATAAATCGAAGAAACGACAAGTCACTAGTAAAGAGCTCCTAAAAACTCAAGATTTCCATGTCTTTTGAGAGAAGCCTCTGATTGCAGTTCCCACAAAAGCTGTCCCAGTTTGTCTGGTTCCGTCGTTATGATTCAACAGTGAGGCCGTCACTAGCAGCTCTTGAACATCTATCAGAACCGAACATGTTTCTCTTTAGTTAAGGGTGCGTCGCCGAGGTTTTCTTGAGAATTTTTCGTGGCATCCTCATTACGATCATACAACATCTGTCTGTTAGTCAACACTGGTGCCCAATAGACATGATATTTTTTGCCCTGGCCATTAGACATCTTCCTGTCGATGGCTTGATAAACACTTTTTCCAAATCTTGATTCTAAATATTTGTTAAACATTCTACTCGAGCTGGCATAAGCGGTTTTTACGCGAAAATCAGTTCGCCGGATGAACGGAAAGGCACCTTCACCTGTGTCTCCATGGCAACTCTTGGCAGATTTGCCTTCACCCTTTGCGATGCTTAATTTCTCAGCGCAAATATTTTTTGAATTTTTGCCAGTAAACTTTGACTCGTTGTTTGGGGAACTTTTGTCGCTGACCTTTGAATCTGGAGAGGAAAATACTTCCCCAGCTGATCGAAGCTTTTCTCCTTTGACAACCATACCTTTAATTGTTTGGTTTCCTGGGATTGACGGGGTTTGCCAATCAGAAATGTTCGGAAGCCGAATCTTGTGTTTCCTTACTCTCGCTTGCGCGTACGAAAATCCCGGAGCTGAATTTGAACGCTTTCCGTCGACCCACGTTCCATTCTCCATGTTATCAGCTCTCATTGGAAGATCCTCGCCATTTAATGGTATTAGTTTGGGAAATGAGTTCAAACCCGCTGATAGGTTCGTCGTGGATTTGTGACTGGCTTGCAAAATTTCTTGCCGTGGCATTCGCCATAAATTTTCTCCGTTTAATATCTTATCATTCCTTTCCAGCTTCGTGTTTTCTTCTTCGGTCTTCCCATCATGGCTGTCGTCTATCGGACCAGAAATGTCTTCCGAGTGAAGATCACCAAGCTCCTGTTTTTGTTTTGCTTCTCGGCTGTTTTCTTGGAAACACTCTTTACAACAAAGCCGCACTGCTCTAATTTTCAAGAAACTCATTTCAGTGATTGCCTACCAAAGAAAAAAGACGAATGTGGTTATTGCGGTTTCTAAACGACCATTTGAATTATGCAAACAGGGTCATTACTTTACTCTATGCAGCGAGATTAATTTCGTCGCCTTCAAACAAAAAAAATGATAATGAGCATTCAAAAATAAACGATAAACTGTTTCCAACAAACTTGGTGGGAGCAATATTATGACTATTTTAATACAAGTTGTTTATTTTCTTCTTAATGACGGCGCCTTAAGGTTAAATTTCCGTGGTACAGAACTGCAATACAGTAATAATGCATTTGACAAGAAAACTGTATTTGCAGCACCATCAAAATGTTATTGAGTCATAACAATGTGAATAGATGTACGTCTTTTGGTTGTCTTTACATGCACGTTAATTAAAAGCCAACAACAATTTTTAGCAAACTTGTTTCATAAGACGAGGAAAGTTAAAGGCGGAAAAAATTAAAAAGTCTCCTGTCCTTTCTATTTAGATCCCGACGAACCTAAAGACTGGCTGAGCAGGTTCCCTCTTGGTAAAGATAAGTCTAATCTTATCCGCACGATCGATCATTTTTCGTTTCCAAGTTGATCATATCCTCGGACGAATCAGCTTTGCCTTGGCTTCTTTAACTTGAGTAAAATTAAAACAACTTCAGTTTATATTTTTTCTAGGTAGGCATAAGAGATCAACTAAAGTTATTTTTGCTAACGCAACATTGACATTTGAGCCTTAGCGAAAAAAAAGGCTCTGACTTCTTAATAATCTTCTTCAGGACCCGTGCTTCTGTAGCTATGCGGGATCTAAATATTACAGCTAGCTAGACTGTTTTTATAGACCAATTTGCTCATTCCATAAAAAAGGATCTCGGGACATAAAGAACAACACATGGGTCCAAAAAAGTATAAAAATTTTACCTTTGAGGTCATTTTGCTCTAGAAGCCATCCGGGTATCTGGTTTATGAGACGATTGTCGTAAACTCGGCGGGGAAACAGCGCGAAGCGTAGCTGGTCACTAGAAAAGGCGCTACTGTTGACTCACAACGACTGTTATAAAAGCTGCAAGCAAACTAGCGGTTATGTAAGAATGTGTTCGCAATTATCTATCTAAAAGTTATAGCACCTGTTTGACAGCCTGTACGGCACCTTTAAATACACTGCGGTCAAATTTTAACTCCTATGATTGTGTGAATGCATGCCTAATAAAAGCAGCATATATACATCTAGAACATCAATAAGAATTTTTGACGGCGTTTTCGTGTTTCCCTAAAACTGGCTGGGTAAATCTTCAATTCAGTTGCATTGAATTTGACAATATAAATAGTCATTTTAAATCTATATTTAGTTGCCAGGTGGATTAGACTAGTTTACGGATTGGCTTGTGGCAAAAAAAATAACAACGCGATTATTAAAAAAAACAATTACTTTAGTTGGTAAAAAGAATTTTAGTGAAGGGCTGTGAGAAATGATTAACGCAGCGGTAGACATCAAAGAAATATTAAATTAACGGATAGGGTGGACACAAATGCTATCTGATTTATATACATTAAGACCCAAAAAACAGAAGGCTGTCGTAGGACGGTTCAGGATGTCTGTCTCTGAATCATTATTCAATTGTTGTTTGCCTGAGTAAGGTTGAAGAACATCTAAAATGACAAATAACTGTTATTTGTCTTTTAAATTCGAGCGGCGTTTTTCTGTTAATGACGTCAGTGGGCGTCCTTCATCCATGTTTATAAACTCACTTATTAAATACAGTTTCTCCTAGACATCTTTTCTTGAAAAAATGAAATCAGTCTGAACCAAAACAAAAATTATTGTGTTGAGCGACTGCAAGACAGCATAATTATTAACCAGGGAAAAAGTTACTCTATTTTCCAGTCTTCTGTCGGATGTTAGATCGTCGGGCATGCGCACTCTGGTATGCATAAAAGGAGTTATCACGTAAACACAGATTCGGCGGTCGACTATTTAGTTCGAACAAGAGAAACGTTTGGCTTATTAAAATACTCATCCTTTCACTAGACGGTGCGGGAGAGTAAATTGACTCAAAGTTCCTTATTTTACTGCAGTAAACAATCACTAGTCATAGGTCAAACTAAGACTCTTACTAATTCAAGAACTAAATTCACTCGTTAGCAGGGCCCGAGTGGGCAGGTGACACATCCCATCGTCCATCTCCGACGATAGACACTAACAAACCTTCTCATTGAAAGGTGTAGCAAGTTTATGGAGATGACAATAAAAGATGGACGAGGAAAGCAAAACGCAGTGTCATAAAAATTGTTTTTTTGATATGAATAAGAATTTGATAGTCCAGTTATGTTTAGCAACTGGACACAACTTGCAGGCTGAATACACTGACAATAAATCTAGCTGCAGAGTGAGTCAACCACGACTGTTTCAGTTTGTGTTTGCTGCTTTTCAAGTGACAAGAAAAAGAGCTAGCAGTTTCTACATGTAAACATGAGCCATGATGGGACCTATTAGGCCTCCTGATGTAAATTAAAGCTGACCAAAGCTGCTAAAGGGACCTCGCTAAATGCACGGTATGGGTAGGAGAGTATATCAATTTTTTATTAGCTCTAAAAGGTGGGATTGTGGCCCAAAAGAAGTATCTATTTACCAAAGGACAACGATCCAGAGTATATTTAAACTTACAAACGCCTACCAGCGGGCTAAAATAGTTACACAATCGAAAAAAAATAACTGTCACAGGGATACAAAATACGTTTTGCTTGTCAGCTTCGTGAAAGAATCTGGAGTTAAGAAAACAAGACCTCGAGAATCTTAGAGCCAGCGAGTTCTTAAAAACTGCATGCGAATTATTCTTTGCCATTCACTATTAATTCCCTTATAGGCATTTTATTCTTTTGTTCTTCACAATTTTTAAGTTGTCATGTCATACGGTTTCTTTTTCTATCACACCATCTCTAGTCTTTGTTCATTTGCGTTTGATAATGGTGGCATGTGTCGCTGAAACGTTGTTTTTTTTCTCCCGTAAATGCTTCACAAAATCTTTCCTTATCATCCATGTCTTGTAGATTAAAAACCTTAGCGTAGAATTTCTTACCGTGAATGAGTGCACAAAAAAGGAAACAAACAAACAAACAAAGAAACAAATGAGGCCTTCGAAAGGCTATGATGGCGCATCAGCGATCTCCAACCTACTTCCCACGTGGGGGCTTCTTTATTCAAAATTTATTTTTGAGTGATGTGACTAAAGAGTTAAGAGTTAAGAAGTTTATTGTTCACGTCCCCTGAGGGGCTTTGCACTGATACAAGACAAAGCTATAATGCATTATAAAATTTTAAAATATATAATATATACTAGAAAAAAAGTAAAAAAAACCTAGTAAGTTTCCGTTTAAAATTCCTACTATGATACAATAAAATGTTAAAACCTACAAAACGCTCGCTGGATCAAGAAATTTCAGCCTGTAGTTCTCCTGCTGAGAACTCTATATACTAGAATGATCGCTGACCGGCAACACTATCTGTGGCAGTTAAAGCATATTTTTTTTTATTCACTTATATTTCGCAGTATCGTTTTTCCTAATTCGTAGGCATCTATGTTGCAGTTATGCCTTGTACTTAAAACATATTACGTAATAGCTTGTTTAGAGAACTCCAAACAAAATTGCTCTAGAAAGCATAAATGTTTTATTATCGACTTATCAACATTTTTAGCAATATTGCCATTAAATATCATATTGCAAATTTGAACTCCTAAGTTGTAAATAAATTGTCTTTTGCTTGTGGTTGCTTTCAGTAATAGTCGAAAACCACTTGCCTGCTTTACATTCCTTATTTGAATTATTTCCATTCAGACTATTTTTACTTGAATCTCACTGCTGGCAGTCTTTTTCAGTGCTTATCAAATTAACACTACTGAGATATTTTCCAAATTAATTTGTTCCGTTGCAAGGTGACTGCGTTGGCAATTTTCCCAGCTTTTCACAACAGAAGAGATCTCTCATTATTTCTGCATTTCTCAGGAAAAGTGACCGCAGTTATTTGTCTCTCCAACAAAAATTAGTGGGTTGACTGGCTTTCAAAACGCTGATTATAATCAGGCAAAATTTTAGTAGACTTAGAAGTCCTATTCTGGGAATTAGCATGTGGTTGCAAGGTCGGTGGGCGTTTTCACGACATGTGAATATCCGAAAAGCTCGATGCTAAATTACCGCAGAGAATTCAACACAGGAAATCATATCTTGAAACAAATCATGTCTATGAACAAACTATTGTGTCCGGTTGTAATATTCCTCCCATAGTGTCTGATATCTATTGACCGATAGACTACGAGCAGTCTCTCTCTTTTTTAGTCCGTCGAGTAACACGCGCGAGACACGCAAATGACCACGCGCGAAAAAAGGAGAGTGCTCGTAGTCTAATATTGACCGAAGATAGTTGAGGGCTCAATAAAATCGATTGCTACTTGGCTCGTTTAAGTCGTCGGCTCAAAATATTTGCGAAACGTTAATTTTAGCTAAGATAAGTACTTATTCAACACATAGCTGTAAAAGTTTCAAATTAGGATTTTCCTTTCACTTGTCTTATAGTAAACTGAAAGTTCGCAAATTAAAGGATGTTTAGTTGCCATGGACTCAGAATCCGGGAAGATAGAACAAGTTTACGCTATGCCGTCTTAACTGCACGATACATTGATAAGATAAGCAGTGGCACCCGGATGTATGTACACGCCCATTGGATGGGGACACTCTAGTAGCCATGGTAACCATCTTGCATCTTTTAAATCTCTAGTAAAGTATCAGCGACGGAAGAAGTAGCCTTTCAAAATCTGGGAAAGAACAAAAAATATATAATTGAAATGTTTTTGTATATTATGTGGTAGTTTTATTTTTTTACGATATATGGCATTGGATTATCTTTGTCCTTTTTTGGTTAGGATCTGTTTATTTAAAACCACAGAAGTAGTTCTGTTTGGCAAAATCCTTCGCTTCGACTTTCGTTTCATTCGAAAATCCGGACTTGACTTTCGAAAATTCAACTCTTCAATTCCTAAACGAACAAATTTTAACTAATTTTTTATAATAAGTGGCTGTTAGTTCAAAATGGAGGTAGTCTTGCGTCTTGCCAAAGATGAATGGCTGCTAGCGTAAACACTGATATCGATATTGAAATTTCCAATAGTAACTATACCTTCTTCGTTAAGACAGCCATCTTTGTCTCCATCTCCCATAGAAAGAATCGTTTCTATTTCATCCACAGTGATATTGTGTCCATACATCCTTTCTAGTGCTTCATACAACTCGATGATCGGCACTTGACCTTTCTTCTCGGGGTCAAAGACGTTATAAACGCAGCGTACTTCAGACTTTGAAGTTTGCTCCGCCACAATGTGCTCCAGGAACCTAATCAGTTCGTTAAAGGTGATCTTTTGTTTATCTAGGAGGATCAAGAAAAAAGAGAAATAACTCAGAAAGTCGGAATTTTGCAAACATTTTATATTCTTCAGAAACTTTTAAATAAGAATATTCCATCTACGAGTTGCCCAAAGCCTCTGCTTCAAAGTGAGGCCAAGCGCGAAATCATTAATATGAAAATACTTAACAATTATTCCTCGAGCCCGAAAGGGCTCTGAGTCAATAGCCTGTGAGGCCGAAGGCCGAATGGGTTATTGACTCAGATGCCATGAGGGCGAGAGGAATAATTGTTTCAGTAAAATCCAACTAGTTGGTCAAAAATATCGAGAATAAAAAACTTTTAGCCAGTTAAAGCTAGACTTTAATCCTTTTTTGCCGCCAAAAAGCGCGCGCTTTTCGCTACTAGTGGGCTATAACATATAGCTTAGTAGTAGCTCAACCAATCAGAACGCAGCATTTACAATAGACCACTAGTTGGATATATTTATTCTCATGTAAATGAAACTCATCTCACAAGAGAGGTTTCAACTTAGCCTCGTTTTCAAATTGAGAGTTTTTGGAACTCGGAAATGGCCTATTCAAACGCGATTAATAGACCTTTTTATCGATACGGTGGCCATATTGAATAAATTCGATGTAAGGAGTATTATAGCATGCCCATGGGGCATGAGCACATTTCGTTTGTATTTTCGAGCGCTTTTCGGTACATTTTATCTTAAAGTCTTTTTAGAATAAGATTGTAATGGGACAAAAGATCCCTGTGCCGTGTTTTGAGGTAATAGTGATAACCTTTTTTCCCGAGAAATATACAGTGAAAGACTTTATTTCTAATACTAAACTAGAAAAAGGCGATCATTATTACTTCAAAACACGGCACAAGGATCTTTTCTCCCATTAAAATCTTATTCTAAGAAAACTTTAAGAAAAAAAGTCCCGAAAAGCGCTCGAAAATACAAACGAAATGTTCTCATGCCCCCTTATCGGTAAAAAGGTATATTCACTAGAAAATGAAACTAATATAAATACAATTGATTGAATCGTTCGAAGTAACTTTTATACTCTGGCCTAGTTTCTTTTGTTTAACAGTTGAGCTAAAACCTGGAACTTAGCCGATGTAGTTTTTCTGTCACGTGTCGATATATGATATATACCTGCTAAATCAAGTTCGTTCATGTATGTAAAGGCTTCTTCTTTGTGAATGTTGTAGCCCAAGCTTCGGAGCAGCGGAAAGAAGCTTGACAGTGGTATCTTTCCAGTTCCTAGGTTGTCGTATATGGAGAACGCTTCTTCGAACACTAGAGGAGAAGAAGTACAATATCAACTTTAATTGTACTTTTCTGCGTTATGTGGCCTGGTTAAGGGTAGAGTAATTTTTTTCTCATTTCATGATCAGATCAATTTCTTAATGTAGCTCAGAGCTAATAGCGCATAATTTCACTATGAGTGGACGTTTTAACTGAGGAAGTAATTAGAAAAGTAAAACAAGTAATTGACCACAACATGACGAACATTCTAAAAAAATTAATATCTTAGGTGTTCACAGTTAATCTTGACTGAACTATACTAATTTTTAGACAATATTATTCGTAATTAGCACCTTTTTTAGCACATACGCACATGCTTAGCGACTGACTCACCAAATCAATGATCGCAGGGTCTAAAAATTTTGCCACTACCCAATTATGTACCAGTAATTTAAGTAAGACCTTTACTTTTTATCATGGTTAGGAGGTTAAGGTTATTTGTTCCATAACTTATAAACTAATCTCCTGGGCTGCCAGCTGCTGTGCTTAACTGCTGTTGGTGAAATCAGCGACTTTCCGTCTGTATGCAAGGAGCGTTCTCACCACGTGACACAAAGCCGAACAGTTGAGGGCTACTTGGCAGACTAAAATAAGACACCGGAGGGAGGATTTCCTCCCATTAATGGCCTGTAGGGGGAGTCTCCGCCCAAGAGGGGTACCTTTTTCAGGCTTAGGTACCGTAAAATTCCGAAAATAAGCCCCGGGGCTTATATTTTTCAAAGGCCCTTTTTGAGGGGCTTATTTCTGGAGAGGCTTATGTATGGAGGGAAATTTACGTTTAAAAATTGATTGGGCTAGCCTTATTCTTGGAAGGAAATTTATCGTTTTTCTTTGTTTTACTTTGTATTTGAGGGCGATTTCCAAGGACAAGCCCCCCGGGGGGCTTATATTTGGAGGGGCGATTTAACGCAGGTTTTTTTTTGCGTTAGGAGTCTGGAGGGCTTGTATTTGGAGGGGCTTATACATGGAGGGGCTTATTTTCGGAATTTTAGGGTATATGAAAGAGTAGGGATGTCACTGGTTGAAGTATATGAAAGGGTTGGGAGATCGGTCATCTGTCATTGCGGTCTGTGAAATGAACTAAAAGGGCCAACAGGTTCATTTAATTGCTATGAAAAAGACAAGAAAACTTTCTGGTTTACTGATTTAGACGATCTATTCATGTTTTGAAGACGGTGCATTAATTAACAATTAATGAATGAGGCTGAGTACCTTATGAAGAATTATGGAGATCGAGGAAGGGCCAAGGCGGTTAACACCCTCCGAGATCTCCATAATTCTTCATATGATACGAACGCCGAATTCAATAATTGTTTTATTATTCATTCAAAATAATTCCTAGTTAAAAAACATAGCTAAAACATGCTTACCTCCATCGATGTTAAGTTCATCTTCGATAGTTCACGTTTGGGGTCGTTTCGCTCCGCAAATATTCTCCAAATAGCAGATGTCGCCCTTCGAGTTGTGTTCTTGCTGTTCTTACCATGTTACTTTTTGGCTATTATTTCGCCCAGTTCTTACTCTTGAAACGAGTGAAATGTCCGTCAGTTTTGTTTTCACAACCAAAACAACTCAACCTTGTCCCTAGGTCTTCCAGGTTAACGGTGCATTAACCTGCTGCACTTTTGACGTCATTGGTTGATTAATTGCAAAATTCTTCCAAATTTGGTCATCAGTAGCTGGTTATGGTGAATTTTGCGTGTGCTCAGAGCCAATAAGAATCGGGGAAGTATTTTGAATAAATAATAACAGCAGTTGAATGTGATATAGCGTCGTAAACTGATAGAGAGCTTTAGATTCTGAGACGAGGACGACTCTCGCGAGTACGAGATTTTCTCAATACTGAGAATTGCTCACGCTTGAATCAGCGTCACTTTGGCGGGAAAACGTGATGGCCGTCGTCATTCTACTACGACTTTTAGCGAAAATGTGGTAGTGGCGGGAACAAGATATCAAATGTACGAAGTTTTATCATTTTGCTATCGGGAGAGGGCTTAACCTCCTTGAAGCATAAATAACCGTACTCACTTTTTTAGTGAAAAAAAAAGTAAAATGAAACTTTCCGGGCTGCCCTTTTTTTAGAAGACGCGCAAAAACTTTAAGTTGGTTCTCGTACTCAGATCTAAGGCTCTCTAATATTTGAAAGGGGCACCATTTTTCAATAAAAGGTACATACGAAAGGGGTACCTTAATTTTGTTCAGAACCCCCAAGAATATAACTGACCTTTCCTAACACCCTTGACCGGAAAGGACAAAGCCTATAGTCACACTCACCTTCTAAATGTTCTTTAGTGAAAACCACTTCATGCTTCCCAGTATTTTCATCGTCACAGTACAATGAAAAGGCTTTGCTTACTCTCCGCTAAAATGGAGAAGACATCTACATAAAGTTTAAACTAAAATAAAGGAGCAAAATTTTATGAATCCTGAAGGTGATGTTACAAGGGACAATTCGCAACTACGATTTTTAGCACAGCACAGCGTTACAACATTGTTGTTACATTGTTTAGAATGGCTGCAATATTGTTCCAACATTTGAACCCTGCGTTGCGCTAAAAATCGTCGTTGCGAATCGTCCCTTGTAATTTAGAAAAATATATTTCATTGCTATACAGCTAAATTTTTCTTCACAGTTATTGCCTTCAGCGGCTTTTTCGGAGCATTGAATACCAGAGTAGTACGATCACATGGCGGGTTGATCAGTCAAGTCCATGTTCGTCTGCCACTGTGACCGAGGAGAAAGTATACATCTACGCATGAGCAGAGTAACATTTGCAAGCAGTTATTTAAAGGGGGCTCTCGGCCAATGAGAATCGTTTATCTATTAGCTAAACGATTTTTATTGGGCTAGAGCCAATCATGTGACTAGTACAGTACGTACCTCCCTGACTGGGGCTCTCAAGATGCAAAACATCAGACGTCCCTCTGCCTGACTAACAGCTTGCATCACTTCTTTAGCGTACTTGAGGGTAACCATATCCATGCGAAAGTTGTTTATCTGTAGAAATTGACAAAATTCTGTAAAGATTAGAAGCAGGATAAGAGAATGAAGCTGAAGTTAACAGACTCAGCCCCTACGAGTCTCTTTTTGGAGAGACCTCAATAGGATTTTCGGGATACGGGATTTCCCTTATTTGAAGCTCGAGATTCAGGATTTTAAAGCAAAATCGGGGCGAGATTCGGGATTGACGGTACGCGAGGCAGGTGGGATGCAAAAAGAACCCTCGTGATTACGGGATTGCCCAAAGTTTTGGGTCGGGATTACGGGATTAAAGAACCATATTGTGAATCCTCTTTTTGCGCAGGATAGAGAATCTAAACTAGTTTCGAGGTCCTAGTTGTTCAAAAGTTGGATATCCACTCCATAAAAGAAACAGTTATCCATGGCCACTGGATAGCACTGAATTGTTTTCCCATGGCCAGTACATATTGCAGAATGCCGTCCATCGTTTGACGAACAGGGCGTCACTGATGAAATAAGCTCAATTCTTATCGGGAGAACTCGCATTTCTCTATCCCAAGTCGCTTGTGTCAATTATGTCACGTCATTCTCAACATTTATAA